ATTTGTAAGAATCCCGTTTTCTATGAAAGAATGAAACATATTGAGCTTGATTATCATTTTATCGACGAGAAGATTATTGTTAGGATTATAAAAGCTTGAATTTGTGCCTTCAAAGTTGCAACTTATACACTTGTTTGCAAAGGCATTGTAACTTGAATAATTTTTTTTTCTTCGAGCAAGATGAGCACCATTGGCATTCATGCTTCTCTTGAGGGGCATTATTAGAGAAATGTGTTAAATTATAGTCTGTTGGTCTCACTAATTTAGTTAGTAATTAGTTTTTCTTCGCCTATTAGTTAGTTAGTTATTTAATTGAGACTTTTTCTCTTTCTTCGCAATATATATAGTAGAAAAAAAGATAGTACCGCATGTGTGAGTTTTGTAGAACTTTTAGTTGAAGAATTCAATTCTCTATTTTTTTTTCCAATTCCTTATGCAACTCTTTTCTTTATCAAACATTTTTTGAATGTAGCAAAATTTCCAACTTGCGTATAAAATAACTTGTCCAAAATACATTAAATGCAATCTTGACATTGATATACTCACATAACATTTTTGTCCTTGAAATAAACATTAAAAAAAGTCAGATTTTTTCCATTTATTAATGCTTGAAAATTCAAACAAATGTTTATGCATGGTTGGCCTCAAGTTCTTAATGGGATTGATAATTGATTACGTACAATGAATTATTTTATTCCAATTGCCTTATTGACTTCAAATCTGATTTTCTAACAATTTCATACATAATTCTTTACCATATGGAGAATTATTATTCTTTTGAGCCATGGTCTTAATCTCAATCATGCTATTGTCCTTGGTTAGCTTAGTACTATTTAAAACCATCGCGTATCTCTTTGAGTTCCTTATTCTTCGTATAACGACCTGGTGTATTGTCAATACCGAAAGGCTTTTGGATAGCCAGACATTCATTTGGCTCAAGAATATATATTTTATAAAAAAGATCTTCAAATATGTAGCCTTAATAGTAGCTCTACACATCATGAATTTATCATTGTAATCTAACAGAATAAATCTATCTCTTAACTCATGTCTTATACTAAATCAACTATTGATAGGCACTCTATCATTTTCTATTAAAGTATCCTGGTCATACTTTCAAAACGAAAAAGTTATCCCTCTCAATCTAATCTTAACCAACTACATCATCTCCTATTCTGACAATCTCGCATATTCTATCATTCTATCATAGTTAACAAATCAGTCCATGAATTCTTCAACTTCCAAATCTCCATTGAAAGTTATGACATCAATCTCTAATTAAAATTTATTGGAATCATAACACAATGTTCAACATAAATTTATTCAAAAGTAAAAACACAATTACGAATATTGCTAAGTAGGAGCTATTATGCTAGTACAACACCTATTGTATTCAAGTATTCATGATGCGTGTTTGCATATGACATCAAGATATGGGGATCTTCTCCAATTCTTGCAAAACTCCTTCCTAACTATTTAAAGTGATGATTATACCTCTACTTTAGATGTATCAATGCCGCCTCCTGGATCCGCACAATGCCCCAAATGACCTGCATTTTTTGATCCGTGTCATTAGAATGGTGTTTACCACTTTGTCCACCAATAAGATCAATCTTGCTCTAATACTAATTGACGCAATGTATAACAAAAAGGATACAAGATTTGTTCAAACTAAAAAAACACAACAAAGTTGTTGAAAAAACTGACAAAACTAAATTGTATTAATCATAATTCAATGGATAGTACCTAAATTGATCCGAACATGTAATGTTTTTTTTGTGAATAGTTACTATTTTTAGTCAGATTTGGATATCTAAAATTCTTACCAATTGGATAATAGATGAAATATGAATATTATCAAATTTGACATGAAATCTGACTTGATCTAAATATATATATATATATATATATATATATATATATATATATATAATATTTATATTTTTTTCTATTAAATATAATATATACATCCAAATTAATACAATGAACACTTATATATAATCCTTTTATTTATGTAAATAATTAATAATACTCAGATAATAAATATTTGAATGAATATCTCAAACTCAGCGATTTGAATATAGATGTTAAATTTTTCATTTGATGGAGGATTGATATTCTATGAATAGTTAAATTTTTTATCTGATAAGTAATAAATAGAATATAAATATCCCTAACCTAATACATGGGTATCATAGTCATCCTTAGACTGGTAACCCACTCGGTCTACCATCTGAAGCCTTTGATTTGTTTTGCGAACTGTACTTTATTTATGGGCTGATCTGTTTCTTCCCTTTTTATGGGCCTAGCCTAAGTAGCCATGTTAGTTTGTGGACCAGATGACACTGTAACGGGCTTTACGACTTGCATTTTTTGGGTTGAAACAACTTGGAATGCTCCCACCATCATGCATTCTAGAAAAAAAGTAAAACAGTCAATTACATCCCTACGGCTTAAATTGTTACCTTTGGATTCTAAAAAATTTCAGTGCTACCTCTCTTGATATATATATATATATATATATATCATGTATCTTAATTCCTGTAATAGAGGATTGATCAATATATTTTTAAGACTAAAAGATTCATATTTTGCTTGAATTTTAACTTATTTGAAATTAAGTTCTTGATCTTTAAATTTAATTTTTGAAATCCTTGAACTTTTAATTTTTTAAGATTTAATCTATCTTTTAGTTTTGTCATTTATTCTAAAAAATAATAATCACATAAATTGTTCCATAATGAAAATCATTGGGTGAGATTTATTTAAAACTCTTTAAAAGATTTGGAATAATTCTGAATTATTATTATTATTATTTTTTTGCAATTTTCTATATTTTAACGTTAAATAAATAAATAAATATACTTTTTGATTTTGAAAAAATTTGAGATTTTCCTAAAAAATAGATCGGATTTTTCTCAACATATGTGCAAAACTTCAATTCAAAATACAATTGAATTTCATAGAAGGAAGGATGATAGTTGAAAATCATTAGATATATTAAATCTCTAAAAAATTAAATTTCAGTGATTTCAGAAATTAAATTTGAAATTCAAGAACTCAATTTTAAATGAGTTAAAGTTCAAGAGAGGTATGAGCTATTTAGCCAATTTTTAAATCTCATCCTTTCATGTTTTTCATTTTATTTTACTATCATTTATTAGTTAATTTTTGCTTATAAAAAAGAAAAGGCTATGTTGTAATATCGTAGAAAGTAAATGACGAATTGGCACTTTCAGCAAATCAAAATCCCCGAAGAAAGAATCCATACATCAATTCTTCCTGGATTTTACAAAAGCCTCTCTTCCCTTTTCTCTAGCCAACCCATTATCCAAAGCAAGCTAAACTTGGCTGCTGTGGTGAAAAATCACCAACATCAAACTCCTTTTCCTTTTTCTTCATTTTCTCCTCTAATTTTTAAACCTAGATCTTGTTTTTCTTTGTTTGTACGTGTTCATAGATCGATCAAGATTTAATGTTTAGATCTATGAACTTGTTTGTTTTTTACTATTACTACTACTATTATTATTAGTATTATTTTTGTTCATTGAAGGTTTTTTTTATATTTTAAATAAAGATTTGGAGAGGATTATTTTTAGTAATATATATGAAAAAGTCAGAAATTAGTTGAGAGTCTTGAACCTTCAACTAATAAAGTCATTATGGTATTATATGTTCTTCTATTAATTTATTGTAATTCAATCTTATTTATGTCCATGCAATGCAACAAATCTCTTCACAACCAGCCTATATTTAGAGATTTTGATGAATATTATTTCTCTTCTATAAAATTTGATTTTTTGTTTTTGTGTCATTAAACCAAATATCTTACATTTATGTCCTTTTCTTATCTTCTGTCATTACCAAATGCTACTTAATTGTGGATTTTGTCCGAAATATATACATATGACTAAGAATTTAGATTGAATATCGGAACAAGAACCCTCTATTTTAAAAAATAACATCGATGATGCAATGACTCAAACTTAAAAGCCCTAACAATTGGAATCCTATTCATTAATAGCTACATCACTTTGCCTAATACTAAATGGATAAAGCAAGAGACAGCATAGTTAATGGAGCCGAAAGAGTCCAAAGAAGATGTCTCTTTTTATTTGACGAGGAGGGCATATGCAAGTGGCAATGTGGTGCCAATTGAGTGGGTAAAGAGTGACGATACCATCAGAAACGCTGCTTTGGTGAGTGGATTCTTCATGTTTACATATTGCCAGCGGTGGTGGAGTTAGCTTGTGACCCCCTCTCTCTCTCTCTCTCTCTCTCTTATATATATATATAAATATATATATATATATTGACAAATCATAATTAAATTAACAAACTCAGATTGCCATCATCATTAACAAGTTGATTCTCAAGGTCATCTAACATTCTAACACCAGATGCATGGGCGCCCCTATATGTGGACAGGAGACGAAAATTTGGTATAACAAGAAAACAATTTGGGCCTTTATCTTTCGAGGGTTTGCCGAGTTGAGCGTCCATTGACTATGAGAACAAATTAGATGCACGAAAAGGGAAAAGCAAATAGATGTGAAGTATGTATTTATTAACTGGATTAAGCGTTGGTATAGGTAGATATTTATATAGAATAGAAATCTTGTGTCACTCTTGTTGAAGTTTTCATTTTGGATAAATGTTGCACTTGTCAACTTGAGTAATACATAAGAAAGTTAAGTGTTCAAGAAAGAGAAACTAAATCCACTAATTATCACAAGAAACCTTATCTTAATAACTTGACGTTGGTAAGTTGATCATGCTTTGAAAAATTATATGTAGAGGAAAAATCTAACTTGTAAAAGTATGCATTCAAATGAATAAAAAAAGTATGCATCCACTTGATGTTAGATTTTCCAGCGCAAACGGGCGCGCCTTGAGAGTTCAGACTTCAGATGCATTACAGACAATTCACACAAACAAAGCTCGTTAGCCCAGGCAGCCAGGCCTCAATAAAGATAAATGTAACAATCCAAACGACACTCATGCCCATGGGCTTTGAAAACCCTATTAGCTTCGGAATCCTATATGCCTTGGAAAAGGCAGGACGTGTCATTGGGTTTTGGGCTCTGCAAATCTTATATGCCTTAGCGGCTAAGCCTATCTCAGAGAGGGACTCATCAGGCAGGCAATTAATTTCTTACAAAAAGTTGGAGTTCAATCAGTTATTTCAAATGATCTCACTCAGGATCTTTATTTATAGGTGCTTATTTATATTTACTATGCCATAAAATTCTAAGTTCTAGCTGAAAAATGGGTATTATTTACAATAATTACCAATAGGTTTATGGTTTAGTTGTAATGAGTATATTATAGTTGAAAGAGATTGCACTGGTTTATTATTATTATTTTTTTTGAATTATTTCAAATTAAAAAAAAATCTCAGTACAAAAGAAAGTTAGAGTAACTATTTCTTTTTGTAGTGGTAATTAATTCAATTCATTGTATTAATATGATTTTTTTCTTCTAATCCTATTAACTACTAAAGCTAGTCGTCTAGGACCTAAAAATTGATCCATGTGGACAGCAGCATCCTGTATATATATCATTTTTTTATTCAAAAAAATGGATATAAATTAAGATAGGTTGATCACATATGAGTAAAAAGATATTGCATTTTTCATACTCAAATTAAGATTATTGAGAAGAACTTCACCAGCATACTTATGGTAAGGTTTAAGTTTAGAATATTTTCATGGGTGCAATAATTAAAATATAAATATGCCACCTCATAAAATAGCTAATAAGGAGACTCAAACTTAGTCATACATTGATCAATGAATCTTCTATATATTTATCACTTGAACCAACTCTTTAGTCATTACTGCTACTTCTGTTTTTGCCAATCGATCGAACGAGACGCCCTATATGTAAATATTATACTACAAAATAGCTATTTCCCATTCTTAAATCTCTTATCATCCTTTCTAGAGTTGGAATGAATAGAAATCATAAATCTTAATCTCTACCGTACATCAATTGCATCAGTTTGCAAAGTTTTCAAGTAGTATACATATATTTTTTGTTGAATTTTTCAAGAATTTATAATTGACTTATGTAACTAATTGCATTTTCAAAACCGATCCTTTTCTCTTTGTGCAGTGTGTGAAACGTCAATTTGTAGGTTGAATATCAAATTCATTTACATTCCTCAATCAAATTGCTTGACGTGCTATGTCGCTTTAAAAAGTATTATTTCCTTTTCATTATTTTCTTAGCACTCAATTACTTTATTATTATGTATAATTCAATTTTTCACTTGTTTAATGTGATTGAGACAAGGATATTGAAGATATTCTTAAGATACTTATAAGAAAGATCCAAAACCATTTCTTGTTTAATTGCGACAAGGACTTGTTGATTTATCTCAGCATTGCTAGTTACTAGCTAGCTATAATTAAGTAACTCCTTAAAGTAATTGTAATACATTCTTTTATCTTTTTTCAAGTGGCTGTTGTGTTTGTCTTGACGGAGCTTTTTTTGTTTTTGCCACTATATATGATTTGTATTTGTAATGGGGAGAGAAAGGGATATATATAATATTAATTGATCAAGAATATCCTTTCAGACGACGATATCAATTAAAGATTGGTGGTCAAATTGACACATTAGATTTAAAAAATATGTTTTCAACTCGTTAATCACTAGAAGTGAGGTAATTAATTAGAAAAAAAAGTTGAACTAAATGACTTGGAAGTACTGGTTATGCAGTTGATCAATAAATAACTACTTAACGCTGTTAACAAAATATATATTAACTTCTTTAAGTCAAGACCCTTGATTTTAATAATGTCATCCACTTAAATGTAGTAGGATATGGCGATCAACTCAGACAAAATATGTTGTAGTATAGCTAGCAAAGCATGGAAACCAAAAGGCTGGTCATAACTGGTAACACTATTCATGTCCTAGTAGTTCAAGGCAGGGAACATAGACGATGTAACCGATGGTTTTGACATGAAAAAGAAAAGAGAAAAAAAAAAAAGGTAAGACAAACTCTTTATTTCTTGTTTTAGTCGTTGGTGGAAAAAACTATGAGAATAGACCTTTAATTTCTTAATAATTAACTTCTCTTACTTATGAGCTAATTCAAGACACAGATGCAATCACTTGTGACTATCTTTGACAAATTGGATCCATATATATTATATTTCTTCTCACAGTCCATTAATTTACTCAACAAGTCATTCGATTTTGCATGTCTCTTTGTTCATGTGACAAGAAGAAATTAACAAGAAGGAGAATAATGGAAGCAAGCTGGAGGTAAGTGAATTGAGGCTACTTGTCCTTTACAGTCACATCGCGTTGGACACACGCATGAACACACTTACTAGGATTATTTATCTTCTTATCGAAGTTTCTGGTCATTTTTTAATTACAGAAGTTTATTTGCTCCTTACAGATCATGCATCCATGATGTTAGGCCCCTCTTAAGAAAAACCCTAGCTTTTTCCATAAATGAGTTCAAACAACATGCTGAAAGTAATTATTTATTTATTTATTTATTTTTTTTTGTAGTGAAAAAAATCACCTATACAAAAAATTCAAGAAATTAATTAGTTGAGTCAACCGTGTATATACTGTACTGGTATAGGCACGGCACAATTTCGAAACTTACTAATTCCTTGAAATTAGACCGTGAGAATATTTTTTTCTAAATGTCTTAATATAGGTGGGAGTGCCTTCTCTTTTAACCAACCAAGCGGGTGAGCTAGGTTAAGTTAGGATTTGTTTGGCTCTACCGTGCTTTTAAATACAACACTCATTTAGCTTATTTTAATTAAGAGAAGCATTTTCTTATAATCATTTTTTATACATATAAATTAAGTTTGGTCTCTTTACCCAACCTTTTTTATGATTTCCTTTATAGTGTGTCTTATTAGATAATGTTGTTGTACCTAAATCAAGAACATTTCAAGATTTTATAGATGAGAAATAAATATGTCCATAACTAACCAATCATGAGCTACGTACAATTAATTGTTGCAGAAACATAAAAAATCGATCATTAAACCATGAATAACTCATGCTAAGGACAGTTTGATTGGTGTGTATTCTTATTCCCTAGCTATATTCCATTAGTTACTCCTATGGATGGTGCTCTTGCAGCAAAATAATTGAAGACCACTCACCTAATAGAACCACCATGATCAGATCATGTAAGCAAAAATATTGGGCTAAAATGTTACTTTTCATTAAAAGAGCAATCAATATTACCTCTTATAAAAACCATCAATACACATTAGTTAGTAAGAAATTGAATTCAAAATCTATGGTTTGATTTGACCTTTCAAAGAAAATCCAAAAGGTTAAACTTTTAGGTTAACCTTGAGGATATGATCTATATTACTTTTTAACATATCCCTTCAAGTGAAAGCTCAAATATTTGAGATTAAAATTTATATAGATCTATATTACCTTGTGCTTAGTGACGGACGCATGGCCAAATGTTCACGGGAGTCAAAATAAATTTAATTTTCATCGATGGTATGTGGCTTTTTTATCTACAATAAAAATAAATTACAAATATGAATATATAATAATTTCTAAAATGCAATATGCAACGAATTACAAATTCACTTAAAATATAAATAAAATATTTAAATTAACAAAATACATAAATAAATCACCACTCGGATCTATTGGGAGCCACCCCTAAGCTCACTAGTATACGTACCTAAAAATATAATGGATTATAGTAGTACCAGTCGCTCCACTAATAAATTGAATATATTTCAAAATAGTCACTTTAGTAATATAGAACCTATAAAATATAAACAAGAAAAATTATTATTATAAACAAACAAACAATTGAGAATCTAGTATATTAATCTAAATAAGGTTGTGAGTAAAATAATTAAAGAATTTTTTTAATAACCATTAATGAAAGAAGAATGATTATTTGCAACTACAAGTACAACAACGACACAAAATTTCAAGATCAATAGTACAATTTTAATTTAAGTAGATAGATTATTAGAATTTTCCTAAGCCATGGATCCGATATTCTAATACATACCTTAATCATATAAAATAAAATTAGAAAGACAACTAATCAAATATTTTAATTATAAAATATTATTTAAAAAAAATATTTAGGAGTTGTCAAGATTCAATCAATATATAAAATAAATTATTAATTTTTTTAAAAATACTTGCTATGTTGTCGAATAAGAAAAATCTAGATTAGAGAAAAAGTTTCATTTTTGGTATTTTGAATGGAGTAAGAGTTAAGGGAAATAGAAAAAGGAACGAATTTAGTAATGGTAAGAAACAGCTATCATCAAATTAAATAACTATTAAAGGTTTAGTTGTGTCTTATGGGAAAATCAAGGACAAAGGTTAAAAAACATTAGAAAGGGTTGGATTTGTTTTACTCTAGTTGGGGGGGGGGGGGGGGGGGGGGGGCACTGAAGCCATGTGTTTCAAGTGAAGTGGCGACATAAGTGGTTATGTTAATATAGGGTAAGTTAGGGATAGGAATTGTACATTAAAACAAAAAGTTGGAGGGTTGGGTTTGTTACTTAGTTACTCTAGAGAAAAAATAAAAATAAAAAAGTTGGAGGGGGGCCATAAGTTAATCTAGTATAGGGCAAAAAAAAAAAAAAAAAAAAAAGTTTGGGGGTGGGGTGGGGGGCTCGAGCCTCTATAGAAATACATCTGCGTTTGCCTATGCTTGTGCTTAATGCTTAAGAAAGTGATGATGATGAGACTTGAATTCATAACTTTTTGATCAATCGAGCTTTGATGTTATGTTAAAGGACTATTTCATCTAAAAATTTAAACTTTTAGATGAGGTCGTAAGATATGATTTATATTATTCTCTAATATGATCCGTCATATTTCTAAACAAGCATAAAAGATTTCAATCCAATTATTACAAACATATTTACTTCAACACAAACACATACACATATTATTTCTAAACCCTCATTTATTAGCCTCCATTTTAAATACTGTATTACGTATGTCTGTTGTATGAATTGTTAATTAGTTTATATATAATTAACCGGACTTAATTTATGGAACTTGGGTACTCAATCAATCTTGAAAGAGTCACATCACAAAGAGTTGAAATAAAGGACATATTTACACAGTGCAGCGATTCTGAGGAGGGCAAGAAACTTCATTAGCATTAACAATAGTCCCAATAATTGTGCAAAATAGCAAGTCAATACTACCTTCCAAGAAGGCTGAAATCAATGGAAACTTCATTCCTTTCTTATAATTAAACTTCAGAATGATACCGTCCTTTATGCCTAATTAATTTGCGGTTCGGCGCTAGAATTAAATAAAGAGGAAAGCGCATGAGGCAATTGAATCAATAAACAGTGGGGCGTCGGAACCAAAGTAATTAGAAATGTTGTCCTTACATGTAAGGATAGCTAATTGAGAGGGCAAATAATTGTAATGTAAATCTTACTAAATTCCAATTGCTTTCTACAAAATTTTGGTGATATCCTCGGTATTAGGGTTCATTTTGTCTCGATCTCTCACCTTAGCCCATCCCCTAGCTATTTAACTCTTCTCTCCATTTGTTTCCACATCACCTCTATCACCTATCTTAAATGTTAGTAGTACTATGGCTTCTGAGATTGGCCTTCTCTCCTTGACCCAACTCCAAAAATTACCTCAATCTCAACAAAATCAGCGTCAACATCAACTGAGCCCCAGCGAGACCCCTCGTGTCTGGATGTGGAACCCTAAGCAAACTCAAGAAGATGAAGATTCATGGGAGGTTAGAGCCTTTGAAGAGGATACAGGCAACATCAACGGCACCACATGGCCACCAAGGTCTTATACTTGCACCTTCTGTAGAAGGGAATTCCGTTCAGCTCAAGCCCTTGGGGGTCACATGAATGTGCACCGCCGCGACCGTGCTAGGCTCCATCAAACACAGCCTGGTTCACTAAACCCCAACTCATCAACTTCCAGTTCTTCCTCTTCCACTTTTATAATCCCAACTCAAGAATTTCCCCCAAATGCTGGGTTATGCCTACTCTACCAATTACCAAACCCTAACGGGATCTTCACTCCCGCAACTATGAATGCATGTGCTATTGATTCACCTTCTACTCTTCTCTCCATCACACCATATCCCCGTAACAACTTGATAGGGCAATCTCTTAATTTTCCAGTAGCACCACCTGAGATAAATACTCCTCATTGTTACTCTATCAAAGCCAAGCCCTCGGCATCCGCTGATAATAGCAATGATATCAACAGCAACAACAACGGTAAGGAGTTGGCAAACGAAGAACTTGATCTAGAGCTCCGGTTAGGGCACAGATCGACATCATCATCATCATCATCATCATAACAGATAAGAAATCTTCAGTGTGTTTGAGTTGTTTGAGTGCTGTGTGTGTCAAAGAGAGTGCCCTTTAATTTTGAGATAGTACAGTCTCATTTTCATAGACTTGAGTGAGATTTTTTTTTTTTTAAAAAAAAAATTAATAAAAAGTTCATTAGAGAGTGTGAAATCAAGGTGCTGTGGAACTTGAAAGAGGAAAGCCAAAAAGAAAAGCACCATGTAAATTCAAAGACACAGAATTAATGATTTATTCATTCGACAAATAAATGACAAAATAATATTAGGGCTTGATTGCTCCAATGGTAAAGTTGGCATTGCACTGTCATTTTCTATTACGGATCTATGTATAAAGTCTGTCTGCGATACATTTCCGTGGGCACTATTTGAATTGATATTAATTTTTAACCCGGATTCACACCCTTTTTTCCGAAAAAAATTTATTACAGAACTGACATATTTTAGTATTTAGAACTTTACACCTCTGAACAGACATTTAAAACTATTTTAGGAAGAGTTGATATCAAAGTTAATGCATTGATCTTTTTTAGAAAGCCGTATCCTGTAGGTTCAGATATTTATTTATTAATGTTTCTTACACAAGATTATTTGTGCTAAATATTAGGAAACGAATAATTAAAAAAATAAAATGAAAAATAAGAAAATAAAGTAAAAAGATAAAACAATCACACAACATAAAGATTTATGTGATTTAATAATTGTGCTTATTACATAACTGTATTAGAATTTTTTATTGAATTTTATCAAATAATGGTTTACAAATACAAATGATATTGTTTCTATTTATAATGTGAAAAACTAGGATTTTAATAAAAAAAGCTTAATAGGCCTATACATATAATCTAATATTTTATAGAACCTTTGGAAGCTCCACCTTCAAGCCTTTGCAAGGAGTGCTGCTCTCTTGACCCTATTCATTAACCGTTTAACAATACCATCATTTGCATAGTATCTTATACTTCGGGTTTTAATCTATATCAGTCTTTATAATTTTACACTAAAATTCTCTAATATTCCCTTGAATCCATTTTGGAGTACAAAAACAAAAAGGTAACCGAAATTTTTATTCTTTTTTCCTTAATCACTCTTTCTTTGACTGCGAACTTTCTTTTCTTTTTCTTTTTTTTCTTTTTTTTTTTTTTTTTTTTTTTTCCAGAAAAAGGTTCTGGAATTCTTTTCGAGTGCCAAAACTAATGCTATTGGTTTTGAACCAAATTCTATTCTCCATATTCAAGAAATTTTTTGTTTAACAGTAGGTATGGTATTCCAATTATTTCATGTATATATGGAGGTGACAAAATGGCAGCCATGTACATGGTGTCCCAATTATAGAAGACTGCACCACATTTTTACATAATTAATGTTAAAATAGAGAAGAAAAGAGAATAAAGAAAAATTAACCTTCGCTTAGATATAATTAAAGCTCGCACATCCCCTTCTACCATAAGAATCCTAGTGGAGGCCCTATAGAAATGATTTTTCTGTAAAGTTTATTATCTTTTTTTATAGAAAATAATTTTTCTATTCTTAAATTTTGAATGTCTTAAAATAAATTGTTGATATGGTTACATCATATATGATATATTCACATTGATGTATTTTTAAAAAAATATATTATTAATTAAAAATATAAATCATTTTTTTTTATTGGGACTTAGGAAAAATGAGAACGTAATAAAGCTATTTCAAACTCTTCTATAGAAAATATTAAGATCACATCAAACTATCATTTTATCTAAGAAACCCCACCATGCCTATATCGAAACCAAAATTTAAGATTTCTTTTCAAGAATAATTATGATTATGTGTGAAGATGTTGTAAGTGTTTATTTGGTTGAACAAGAAATTGTTATATATATATACATGCACTAGCTAGATAATAGATTTAATGAACAAGGATATATATATATATATATATATATATTAACTTTGGCATTCTATACTCTCGAAATAGAATGCCAAAGCTGTTCGCTTCTCAAACTTTTTTAGCAAATAAAAAATCTGAAATGATTCAAGTAACAGTAAAAGAGGGTAGCAAGACATCAAAAAAAAAAAAAAAAAAAAAAAAACCATTGACATTAAGTTGAGCATGAGGTTTCCCATAAAGCAATGAATGATTTTGAAATTTATTTATTTAGACGAAAAAGGAATTTGAAATTTGCCTTCAGCACTTTTCGGTTTGATAACTTAGGAGATTGAAAATTTAAATTTGGGCTCTCAAATTTTAAAATTTAAATCGTCATTGATGCAAAGCCTACGCCTATGTTTGGGGAAAAAAATGTTGAAGAAAGATTAGTAAAAAAAATTGCACTTGTTAAAAAAAAATTAAATTTTATCATTTTGATTTTGAATATAATTAATGTTATTTTTATGTCAAATTAAGATATATCATAAAAAAACAAAAGTTTATTATAAAAGGAAAAAAAATGTAAAAGCGTGTCTTCTCAAAATTAAGTCCGCTCACACAACTTACTGAAGCATTTGCCAATTCTATTCACACGAAATCAATCATGGAAACACAAAAAATGGTCGACTATTATCTCATCGGCATTTGTGCAATTTAAGACAGCCATAAATTAACAGTTGGGAATAGTACAAAAGATATATATGTGGGTGTCCTAGCCCTTTCATCTTTCTCATCATTCTACTCCCAATCAGAGAGAGGCATCTCCGCCTACATGTTGCGTTGAATTCTTACTGTATTGTTGAATCCCAGTAAATTAGGAAGGATATTCTGATTTTTTTTTTAAATATTCAATTTGTTATTTTGAATCTTTTTTTTTTTTTTTTTTTTTATCAAAATACCTTTTATTAAAATACTACTACTATTACAACAACAACAACAATAAAAAAAAATTAAAATCATATGAATAATATGTTTTATTTTGAAGTCTTTATAATTTTTATTTTTTATACTTCAATCCTAGGTATTTTGAAGTCTCTATAATTTTTTTTTTTTTTTGTATTTCAATTCTAAGAATTTTGATAATTTTTTTTATGGTTGAAAAAATTGATCAGAATAATAGATTTAATATTTAATCTTTTTTGTTTTTGAACCCAACGAGAGATGATTGAAAACTTAAAAATAGATAGGAGACTTTAGATATTATATAAAGATAGATAAATACATTTACTCTATTGTTGAATGCCAGTAAATTAGGTTTGAGAGTACCCTTATGCTCTATGCTATCTTTCTATTCATCATATTATACATTTTTTTTTGTTACTTGATCATTATATTTTCTCCATCACGAAAAATTTATATCCTTATTTACTATTTAGTTCTCCAAAATTTATTTTCTTGTAACACTACAAGAAAATCAAAAAATAACGATAGATTTTTTGTCGCTATATAGTAAAAATCCGTCTCTATTTGCACTTAGCGACGTATTTACAATAAAAGACGTTATGTAGCAAAATTCTTCCTCGCTATTTTCTTAGCAATGAAAAAAATAGTCCGTAGCCGATCAACGATGGATTATTTGTCACCAATGCATTGAATTTCCATTGCTAAAGCGTTGTAAATAGTTGTCTCTCCGGTCTTGTATTTATCGCAAACCATCGCTAAAATTTTCTCACTACGGTTCCTTGTAGATCTATCGTTAAATCCATCGCTATTTAATGACCGTTGTAGCTTCCATTGCTAAAGTGTAGTAAATAGTCGTCTCCTAAATCTATAATTTATCGCAAAACCATCGCTAATTGGCAATTTCTATTGCTAAATTTTTCTCACTAAAGTTTCTTGTATATCCTTTGCTAATCCGTCTCTAAACGAAGAAAATATTTTTTATTTTATTTTTAATATAAATTAATAGTTGTTTAATGTTAATGGTAGTAACAAATAACTAAAAATAACACATTATTAAAACATGATATATAATTTAAAAAAATTAAAATAATAAATATATTGAAATCAAATAAATATGTAAATGCATTAAGGTGTATGAAAATATTAAAAAGCTTTTAAAAACAAGAAATCTAATCCGCATCATCTCATACATCATGTTGCTACCCAATGTACGATGAAATTTCCAATATATATATATATATTTGAAAATTTTGGTTTTTTGGGGATGTGAGTTATTTTTTTATTTCGAAGTCGCCACCTAGTATTTTGACAAAGGATTTGAACCAATCGTCGGACGCCTTTGTCAAAATACATGTCGATTCAAAATTTGATCCACTTTAAAGTCTTGATATAATCGATATGTCGTAGAACAACTTAATTACTAAAATATAATTGATTTGAATTAATTAATAACATCCGTCCTTATTGAATAGGAGACTCATTAAATTTTCTTAAAATTTTTTCTTCTTCTTTTTTGTTCTTTTTCTTAATTAAGCTAAAAGTGTTTTATTTTAAGACCAATGAGAAAAACCATTTTTTATCTTTTTTTTTGTTTATTATTTGTAGCATTATATTAAATTAACGTTGGGTCCTAAAATTTGAAAGTCTCATCAATTTAGCATCAGATCTAAATTAAAATCCTAACATGATTGACATGTCGAGAAACGACTTAATTAGACTAAAAAAGTTTATGTGAAATGTTGAATAAAATTGATCCGACTTGACTCTTTATTATTTTTTTTAGCATTTTCATTGTTGGAAGAAATATATCGAAACCATCATTTATTCATAATAAATAAGAGACTCATTGATCCGACATCTCAATCGAATCAAAACCATATATTAAAATGAAATTCATATCCTAAATATTTCTAGGTTTTCTAACATACATAAAACTAAAAATTATTATAAAAATATGAAATAATTTAAAAATAGTGAGAAACAAACTGAAACCACCCCAGTCGCTGGAAATGATGAAACTGCCCCTGCTACTGGAAATGATGAAACAGCCCTCACCCAATCGCTAGAGATGTTGACCGTTTTCGAGGTAAATGTCAAGTCTAATATTCATCAACGATTGCAAGCTAAGGTGAGAACAACTAAGAGCATTCTGAATTGCCACAGCCCATGAAGGAAGGACAACGACATTCTCTGAATTGAATAGAATTGGTGGTATGTTTTCATAAAGCCCTGCAATGAGATTGCAAAAATATATGCTTCCAGCTGGTGGCTCATTCGGAGAAACATGACTTCTGTTTTAATTGACTGACCAGATTTGGATGGCGAAATTGGCAACTGTAAACTAATAAAGTATGAGCAATTTGACCACCAGCTTTCCCACAGGCCCGCGTTATTTGAGCGTAAATGGATTGATCTCCCGTAAGACCCAAGGAATACTCAAAGTGGTGTGGTCTATCCTCCACAATTTCAGACAAGGCTAAAATATTTGTATCACCAGCCTAAATGACTTTAGTCTACCAGAGCTTGTTGACATGAAAATCACAATGTTCAAACATGCGCTTCCAAACAGCTTATCTTAGATGGCCATCCATATTAAAGATCATAATCGCTATAGGTTTGATAACAGCAAACTCCTTATTCAACAGCCCTAGCAATGAGACCTGAACCAAACTGATCCTTAACAAATCCTTGAAGTGCACAGTATCTACTTAATGAATGCAGAAACTCCGTGTTTGCATTTTCTGTGATCATTTTAGACATTGCATCTGGATTTGGATTAAGTATATGAGGTATGCATCCAAAAATTCTTTCAAGTTGAATGCCATGATCTTGTAAGCTGTATCCTCTGAATTCCAACACTCTTTCAAGAACTCCTCCATTGACGATAAACTGTCTGTCATTGCTTTGACACTGCGAATTATGAATCCATATGGGAGTGAGTGAGTGGGTCTGTTGGAGTTGTTGACTGGCAGTGTACAGGTCTGTTGTTGATGGTCTTGAGGTTTTGAAGAAGGATGAAATAGAGTTCTTTATGGGGATGGTTATGATTTTAAGACAAGACTTGGGCTTGAAGGGGAGACTAAGCAATGAGAGTACCCTCAACAGCCTCTTTCCTTTCATCACCAGTTTTAATCTCAGCTAAATACCTATGATAATTTCCTTTCATTTTTAGATAAAACCTTTGAATCATCAGTGAAAGCTACTGGAATCAACCTCATGCCGAGCAGCTTCAAGATACCGTCATAGATTGATGACAGTTCAATCTCAATCTTACCCCTATAGTCACGGATCACAGAAACATAGTCTTCATTACCACGACTCTGGTTCTTTTGCACGGTCGAAGAAATAATCCTCCAAGAGGCTCGTGTAGCTCCAATCACAATTTATAAGACGCAGATATGAAGTTTCGCTCTTCCATAAGCAGTTCCTTATTATCAATGGAGGCAGTGACTTTTTCTACATGCTCCACCATTTCTTGAAAAGCAGTTCCTTTTTTTTTTTTTTAATAGAAAGAAGTTTAAGATCGAGAAACAGAGATGGAAGGATTCAGATCTTGTTTTCTTGAAAGAGGACATTATCGAAAAAGATAGTTTTAGCGACGGATTGAAAAACCATCCTAAAACCATTTAAGAGAGATAGTTTTCATAAACCATTGCTAATACCCTTTAAAAAAAGTGTTTTTGGTGATCTGTTTGCAAAGCTGTCGCTAATTTGGTCACATATGATCTGTTTGTAGTGATAATTTTTTAGTATAAGTGTCCAATATCCAACCTTGTTTGGATATGTTAGACTTATTGTGAGATTGCATTCTTCATTTTATTAATAAAAGAAATCTTTTTATTAATTCTCATTATTTATATTTAGATAGAAGTCATATGATATGCATTTAATTAATGATTGATTAAAAGATGTGAGATAAATATTAATGCACCTAAATGATATCATTAAATGTCCCAAGTCATATCATTGTTAAGAATGAACATTGACTATATGTAGTCGGACTTGTGAGTGCTTATGCTCATATTATAAGATAATAGATATCAAGCTATTCCGAGTGAAAAAAACTAGATTGTTGTGAAGAGCATTCTTAAGTACTTAAGAAGAACTAAGGATGTTTTCTTGATATTTGGAGGAGATGAACTAGTTATGAAAGGGTTCATAGATGCTAGTTTTCAAGCCGACCTAGACGACTTTAAGTCATAGTCGGGATTCATTTTATAATTAAATGATGGTGCTATTAATTAGAAAAGTTTCAAGAAAAAAACGATAGTCGCCTTAACAATTAACGCTAAATATATTGCGATTGTAAAAGTAATTAAGGAAGTTGTTTGAATTTACAAATTTTTGTCCAAACTAAAAGTTATTCCTAGCGTTATTGATATAATAATATTGTATTATGAGAACAATGAAGCCATAATATAAGCTAAGGAATCAATGTCTCATCAATGGTCTAAGTATGTACTTGCAATGCTACCACTAGATTAGAAAGATTATCAATCATGACAATATAAGGATAAAAAAATCCACACTAACGATAACATTGATGATCGCTTAACTAAGCTTCTATCGTAGTTAAAACATACGACCACTTGCTTGATCGTCGGTATAAGGGATATGGTTGGTTAGCTCTAGTGCGAGGTGAGAGATTGTTAGTATAGATGCTCGAGATTCAACCTTATTTAGATAGTTTGACTTATTTTATTAATAAAAAAAGTCTTTCTATTAATTCTTTTTATTTATATTTTGATAGAATCGGATGAAAGTTCATATGATATGCATTACATTAATGATTGATCGAAAGAAAGATGTGAAACAAACATTAATGCACTTAAATGATATCATCAAATATCCCGAGTGGTAGCATTATCAAAAATGGATATTGACTATATGCGAGTAAAACTTATGAGTGCTACGCTCATGTTATAAGATAACAACAAGAGATCTTATATCTATTGGCATGGTGATGCCTAAGCAAACACTTTGGTGATTAATAGTAGGGAACATATTATTGGACTTGACTTGCCATGGGAACCCATTTGATTTTATGTATGGGAATCTCATACAAGATGGGTACAATTAGTCATTTGACTTGAAGGCATCGTGGTTATCTCATTAGAGGATTTATGTACTTTGGTATTCGTTTTGATAGGCTCGATCAAGAGCTATATATGGGTGTTTCATTGGGTGCACTAGGAACTTATTAGAGATAGATGAATGATTAAGAGATGATATATCATTTCTTATATGCTAAAGGAGTTATCATAATATACTTCGATAAATGTACGCTCAAGGAATGCGTGGCCATAGTAGGAGTATACCAATAGAGCATAGTTGGTTTACTCTAGAAGTCGAGATATTTAGAAATCAAATAAAACTTGTTTGATCATAATTGAACATATTATAAACCAAGTTCGAGATCACATTGTGATAAATTGATATAAGGACTTGGATTGTATGGTAACCATAGTCATGAAAGGTAATTATAGATTAATTAATCCTTTTAGAGAATTAACTTATACCACTAATAAATTAGATTATATTTATATTCCTTACGAACCTAACCACAAGAGTGTAGAGAGGACAAGCAAGGGTTGAACCCTTAAGGAAGTGGTCTAATCAATGGTTTCTATCGAGCTGATTGTTCTAAGGTGTAATAAAAGTAAATAGGGATTTATATTTATGTAGATTTGTAAAGCAATTAAAAGTAAATAGAAGTAACAATAATAAGGAAGACTTTGTTCGAAGTTTGGTATCCAATTTTAGTTTAATTGCTGATTATTGATTCAAACATTAACCTATTCTTAGCATAAATATATCGTAGGACAACATGCATGTTGTCCCCAATCTTTCCTTACTCGATTCATTAACCAAATAGATGTTATTTGATTAAGCCATAACCATTGAACAACCTAGTAGACACTAGTTAGATATAATCCTATAACGAGAATTAAATTAGAGAAAGACAAGTGAAGCTAAACAACCTTTCTAGATACTAGAAAGATTTAATCTAGTTTTATGTTTTCTAAAGAATTAAACAAAAATGTATTTATAATCATTAACCCCGAGTTACTACCACATACAAGTTTAGATAAGCAATTACATATACTTGAATACTTAACTAGTAATAGCTTATAATGATCAAGACACTAGCATGCACTCTAATCAATTAATCGCATAATCATAGTCAAATAAAACATAAAACATAAAATACTAAAAAAGAATAAGTTTAGAATTAGAACTCGTTAAGATCTCACAATGATTTTATCAAAAGTATCAGCTTTTCTTCAACAAAGATAGATGTTTAGTGACTCGAGGTTGATTACAAGAGAATTTCTTATATAGGCGTGGCTATTGATAAGAGACAGTTTTTAATAAAACCCTAACCTTAATATTTATAGCTAAAAGTACGTTTATAATACACATGTCAATCCTATATCGTCATATGGATTATTTGGTAAAGGCACATGGATTACTTGCTTTATCTCACACGATTTAGTGCCTTGGAGAGTTGGTGTTACATAGTTTTCTAGATAAAGGCATATGGCTATGTGCCTTTTGCACTCCATCTCATATCCCTTTTTTCTTTATCTTGTGTCCTTGGCTTCACGCCTGTGGAATTAACACTTCATCCTCATGTCACTTCCATCTATCCGTATGCCTTTGTTACTTCATCATTTGGATTTCTTTTAGCTTTGACACACACGGATGTGTCTCTTCTTCGATGTATTTCATATGGATTGCTATCGCCGGTGTGTTGTTTCTTTCCTCTTGAAAGATATCTCGACCTTGGCACACGTACGGTTATGTCACTTTTCTTACTCTCATCATATGGAATTCTATTGCTCGTGTGGTTTTGTTACTCGAATAACCATATAGTTTCCTCCTTTGTTTCACACGGCTAATAGCTATTTCTTGTTTTTAATTCATATGACTATGCGTCTCCTTAGACTTCCCGAGTAACATGGCTTTTCATTGCTTTAACTTGGGTTTCTTTGCTTTAATTTGCCATTTTTTCAATAAAACTTAAAATTGTTATCTTAATCTTAATTTTCTAAATATAATACATCGAGTACCGGAAAGTTTAATGTAAAAGAGCATAAAAGTTATACAAATTATGCACTAATCAAATACCCCCACACTTAAACTTTGCTAGTCCTTGAACAAAACAAAAACCTAACTCACTTTTGTTGGAATCATGATTATATTTAGCACATGCAATAAGCCTTTAAACCTCTATATTATCCCCAATGGATGACTTATGTCTCATGAGGATTTTCATATGATAAAATTGCTTAACTAAATGTCATGCCAATATGATTATCCTTCAAACATTAATTTTCAATTTAGAATTTAACAAAATCACATAGTCAAATCGATCATGTTCAAGACATTATTCGTATATTCATGCATGTCTCTAAATTGATTTATGCATCTTTGTAACCAAACACAATTCAAGCATGCATAACTTATTTTACCTTTACTCTTTTCACTATTACAAGCAAAAGTAATAAATTGAAATTTTTCTTCTTTTGGCATCCCAATCTTTTTCAAAGCCTTTAATAGTTCCTCCCTAAGTAATAATTTACCTTTTTACATGACTACCGACATTTGAGATGAAGGCACCTTGTTACTCATAACGTCATAAACTTAGAGTGCTTTACATACTCATAATTCGGATTGTTATTTAACATAAAAGTAAACATTTGCGATGCATACTCCTAGTTACTAAGCAACTCAAATCATTGGAGTAGATTTTTACTTAATTAGGTCAAATTTTCCAATTAGAGTACTTATTTTTCATTTCTTTCTCAAATTCCATAATAGTTAGAAAATCTCATTTATTTAAACATGCTTAGGTCTAGTTTCAAAAGGTACTTGAAAAATCAGTATTACTACCTAAATCATGCTCAATCATAAAATAATATCCAAAACAATCTTAATTAACTCATTAGATTTTGTTAAAATTCATCATCAATCATCAATCATCAATCAAGAACAACATCATACTTAACCATGGCATTCATCATCATCTTTTTTTATTAAGGGAGTAACCTAAAAAAACACACACATAAAACACACCAAATAATCATAAACACACAATAAATAATACAAGAAAACCTAAATGCTATCCCCACATTTAAATTGTATATTATCCACGATATAACATAGAATTATTCATCGAAACATTAAATATGAAAAGAGAGAGAATAAGACATAAAACCCGGATGGCACCACTCAAAGAAGGGGAGTGGCGGAGACAAGATAGCCGGAGACACATGCTTGTGCCTCTTGAGCTACATAACTCGATTATCGCTTTTCGACCTATCTATTTCTTTCTTGAGAAGTTGAAGTGATGGGTATGGGACACATAGACAAGTGTGAATTAAGTGCATAACCCATGTGTCTTATTTCTACCTATGTTTTTTTTTGTTATCTTAGAATTGTAACCTAATACGAGGTCATATGAGCATG